CCCCCCCCCCCGAACGGAAATCCTGCGACCGCCACTGGTGAAGGGGTAAACAAAAATGGAACTTTTGTAAGTTTTCAACTCACTATATTTTTTCGTTTTTATTGTGTGACAGAAACGAATGCAGAAATCCTAGAAAATTCTCCACCGCTTGTCAAGTCCCTATTTATTGAAATAAATTGTGTTAGAGGAAGTTTTCAAGCAAAAATTTTTTTACATTTCTTGCTTCCTATTGTCCCCTTTTCCTTTCTCCCCTCCCCTCCCCCTCATCATTCTTTCTTGGATTTTTACATACGCGAAACTCATTTGGTGGTCCACAATCTGGTAAAAGCAATAAACTCATCTAAAAAGTCATTATCTACACAAAATTAAATTTATATGGAATATTTCAGCTATTCCGGCCGAATTTTCATGGCCGAACAAGAAGAGGTAGCCAAAATCTGTGAAGAATATCAAAAAGTTGCTGATAAGTATGGCCTCTTTGAACGGATGTTCATACAATTATTTCTAGTGAGTCATTTCTCCTTCACCTTTTCATTTTTATTAGCATAACCATTTGTTTGTTGAGTTTGCCACGGTAATTTCTTGATTTATAGGAAGAAGAAGTCGAGCTCTCTGTTCATTTTGGTCTTGACAACCTCAAGGAGGATGAGCTACGTAAAGACCAACGATTTCGGACCCATGTCGGAAAATTCCAACGATTCTTGACGGGTATTATGGAAATGCTTTCGAAGGGTCCCGATCAAGCAGAAAATATTGTGCAAGTACTTAGGTGAGTGATCTAAAATGTTTTTTAGTGCTTTTTAAGAGTTGTGAAGTATTTTTCTGCTGAATGAATTTTTTTCGATCTAAAAAAATCAATATGGAAAAATTTTGAAAATTGGCAAAGATTTCAAGTTTCGAAAACGCAATAATTTCTACAGTTAGCATACGTTCTGTTACCGAGCGATCCAATATGGTGAAGTAAACCGGAGAACCCAGAAGCATTTTCTAAAAGACAGTGTTACCGTAGTACTACCGTTATACCTTTGTGCATTACCGTACCCCTGGGTAATTCTTCCCCCCCCCCTCATGCGCAGTTTTGATTGAACTGAATCAAAAAGCATTGGAAGAAAGATTTAGAATAAATTACGAAATTTTCCAGATTTGGAGAGGCAATGACCTGAGTCACATGATTCTACTCTTACTCCAGGACATGTAAAAATTTGAAAAAAAATCCTGAAAAATTGTGTATTATTTTTATATTGCTGTACCTTCCAAAGAATCTTTCCATCCTATTTGAAATAGAACCTTCCGAAAGAAATTTGTAT